AATAAATTGCATACATGCGGGGTTCCGGACCGGATGCCATGTCGTCGACTGACGAGTGGGACGACGACCACTTCCGGGTCACGGCGGAGAAGATGAGCGAACCCTCTGTTGAGGGTTGCTACGACTCAACCTTTCCGTACGAAAGTTGCCGCAAAATGAGGTGATTTTTGAAACCACATGCAGTATTTTGGTCCTATGATGAATTTTGCCTGTCGCTCATACCCAGGAAAACAGACCCACAAAAAAATCCAGCCCCCCCCCCCCTTACTTTTCGATCTGATGTTGATTCGTTCAAATTTGAATTTGAATTCAATGCTCGAAAAAATGTATGAATTTAATTTATCGCTTCAATTTAATCAGAAGTCAATTTCGCTTCTTAATATCCGCTATTTTATGGTTGCTATTTTGTCATTTGGAAGAAATCGACGTCTGAGAAACGTTGCCGAAGATAGCAGAGGAATGCTTTCGAATTTAAATAAAAGGATGGCGTTTTAATGTTTGCTTCTTTCAGTCTTTGTTACATCAATTTTCATCAAGTTTCCTGTAAAAAAAAAACACGAAATAATGCGGGGATCAAAGCTGTCTCCGTCTGAATCAGATTCAAGATATACGGTTTCAAAATTGTCTGGTTGTTTTTTTTTGCTGAAATGTAAATTGAAGGAAGGAACGAATTGTGACTGAGCGGAAAATCCCACATGCCCTAAAAATGAAGAACGCAAATATTATTTCCTCAAAATTTGCTGCTTCCTTTGATTTTTCTCTATATTTCATTATCAGCGATTTCACACTAGAATCTTTCTCCGTGAAAAAGGCAATACATTTTTGCCTGTTTTATGACGGTGGAAAAACGCCTAATTTTCTGAGCAAAGTTTGGCATTGAAATATGAATTCAACTTGTCACACATGCCATGCGTTTGCATGAGTCATGTTGCGTGTGATATGTACCAGCTTTTTTTTTCCTTCTTCTTCTAAGGTCTGATCGTTCCGTGGGTGACACGTATTCCATCATCACGGAGGATCCTTTCATGAAAGGCGATTGCGCGGAAATCAGCAGCCGCATGAACCGGAAGGATCCTCTCGCGAAAGTGCTTCCGAG